CATTCTTCCATCTTCGCCAGCAAAACCCAGCGCTCCCGCCAGGTCCGTTACTCCTACAGGGAGGGCAGGGCGAAGCCCCACTTCAAGACCAAATGTTTTAGCGTCCGACCCTTAATATGGCATACGGCACATAATGTGTTTATCTCTTGAAATTTAGCCCTATACATCTTTGCCCTTTACGCACTCGTTCTCGCCTCGAACAGCAAAGTCTATTCACGTGAATCTTCAAACATCTTTTCGTTTCTTATGTCCTGTTTCTGGTGACCAGTACACTGTTAAAGGGATGCTGAACCGAAATCTGGAATCCCCAAAACACCCGGCAAAAGCGTGCAACGGGATGCTATAAACACTAAAACATCACTCATACAGCGATATCTCGAACGGATGACCGTATTTTTCAAGAAAAGAGGCGCATTTGGCAGGAATGTTTACGTCATGTTTCTCCGAGAAGGAGAGGGAACGGACTCGCGTCTTCTCCGCCTCGCGGCCTTGAGGGAGCGAAGCAAAGAGAGGATGAAACGAGGTATCTTGACGTCACGCGCCTCGTCGGCCTGGTTCAATCTCGGCTTCTTTTTCCAAAAATACGGTCGTCCATTTGAGATATCGCCTTACTAGTAGTGTTGTAGGGATTGTAGCGTCCCGCCTACATCTCCAGCATTGTTTTTTTTTAATCTAAATTTCGGTTCACCATCCCTTTAAAGCTGATTTTTCCTGCATTCCTCCCTCCCTCATTTTCCTTTCTGCCTCTTTCACTTATGTTTGCACTGAACTAGTCTACTCAGCCCAATCACTAGTGTGTAGGTATTTAAATGTCAGCTATCGGGTTTGGTTTGTCCATTTTGTGTTTAAAGTTTTAATTTCTAAATACTTTAATACTTTCCGGGCCCACCGGATATCATCTATTTCAGTTAACTTCTCTTAAAATTTCAAGTTACAAATTGTTTCTTAGCTCTTAGAAGGACGACCAGATCATGTTCCCCTGCATTCCCTCATTTGGTGTGCTGCCGCCATGCGCTCCCAGTGCTAACTTGCCCACTCTCCTTTGTCCAGTTTCCAATCCTGATTGAATCTCTGATCTCATACACAGTACCCCATTGCTAAAAAGCCAGTCCTGGCACCATCACTCTTTTTCGTATACCCCTGAGCACATCGTACCTATTATAATTCCATAGCGCTTCGAGTTTCATAATTGCTTGACTTCTATTCCTTATTCTAACTATATTTTCTTCGTTCTCCTCTAGATATTTCCTTTCCTCATTGAGCCATACGCCCGGATAGTTGTTTTCTTCTACATAGCCTATTTTAATTATTCTATTTTTAGGGGTCCTCTCTTTTCGTCGCTGAACACAATTACTCCACAAGACTGGTCACTACTAAAACGCATGCCCAAGATGTTCCCTTCCTCTGCATGTATTCCAGTTGGTTCCTGCTATGTATCATGGTTATCTGCCACGAGTGCTACGTCGTCTGGATGCATTATTAATGGAATGACTTGAATTGCCTTTCTCCCCCCCCCCCCCCCTTCTATATAATTCACATCAAAACCTAATTTGCTCTGCTCCAATATATTTTACACTCAACTTACGTACATTATGAAGAGCAGAGCTAAGTGTAGACAGCTCTGTCTGAGGCCTCTTTTTATTGCTACTGGTTGTGCAGTTTCAGCTTCCCATGTTATAACTACCTTATTGTCTGTGTACTACTGTTAGACAAATTTACTCAAATTTTCATCTAAGTTATACCCCTTCAGCCGACCCCAGAGTTTTCCAATGTTCGTATTATTGTATGCTCCCTTTATGTTCAAATAACCCAACCAAAAAGGGATTTGGCTATATCCCTATACGACAAATACGTTAACTTCTAACCTTCTATCTCTTCAGAATCCATTTTAAGCTCACCCAGAATGTGCATTCCCTCTACCCATTTCTCCAAGCTTTGCTTTATTGTCTGCATTGCTAATTTGTATAAAAGTGACGTTACTGATATCGGGCGGTACGACTTCATGTTGTCTTTGTTTCCTCTGCCTTTAAATATTATTTTCATTTTGCTTAGTTTCCGATCGCTGGCTTCGTCTCCTCCAATAATTATTTGGTTAATCACATGTCATAACTTCAATTTTCCTCCTTTTGGGGTTTTTATGAGCTTCATGGGTGTGTCACCCGGGCCAGTCGCTGTACCTTCTGGAGCCTTACTCTTTGTCTTGTCCCATTCCCTTGTCGTCACCTTTATTGCACTAGTCTGATCTTCCTACACGCTGCTTCTGTCAGTGCTTTCCATTGTCTCCCTCTACTCAAGCTGTAAAAATGCCTTTTCGAGTATCTCTTGTGTGGTCAGTAAGTGCTGGTATCTTCCTGTTTCTCTCCCTTGCGATTTAATGTGCTCCCAAAAAAATTTTTACCGCATTTTGTTTTTATTTATTTCCATCATTCACTGTACTCCTGCACTCCCAATTTTGGTCTGCATTAGTGCTGATGCTCACTTTTTCTCTCCTAGAAGTTCTCCAATTTTAATGACACCTCTGCTAAAATGGCCCCCTTTTTTCTGACCACCTGTGCTCCCTAGATGCCTCTTGGCGTCGTACTATGGCTGCTTTGATCTCCTTATCCGACCAGCTTTTTTCACGTGTGCTCTCGTTTTCACTTTGGTCCTTTTTTTTTTTTTTTTTTGATGTCTCGAATTCCGCTCATAAAATGCTTACTCGATCCTCATACGTCCATTCTCTTTCTGGTTGCATAGATACTATGTCTTCTATCTCTTTAAATACATTCTAGCTGTAGCTGAGTTTCCTTAGGCTCGGTCTACCTTTCCGTCCCTGAGCTTGTTGTTCGAGTTCTGATGTGCCAGATCTAATCATTCTCCTGTGGTAACTTCCTATATTTTATACTTTCCTCATCTATTTTCATACCTCCTAATCTATCGTACAATTTGTGTAACATTAAGCAGTCGTCAATTTTTGAGTGGGAGTTGTTTCGTTTCCACGTTATCTTCCCATCGCGTTTTACATGGGCATTAACTAGCACTAGATCCAGGGAATGGCAGAATTCTTCAAACATCTTTCCTGTGGCATCCCTGAAGCGAACCTGTCGAAATTTTCTAAAGTGGGCGTTCATATCTCCTGGGGCTCTAAACTCGTCAAACACAAAGTTGGGGCCGGAGTTCACGGAGCGCATTTATTGGACTATTCCGACGATGACTTCGCGCTTTTTTCGCCGGCGTCCAATCGGCGCGCTCCGCGAACTTTCGGCTACAACTTTGTATCTGACGAGTTTAGGGCCCCAGTGGTCAATATTTCCTGATTAAGATCTATTTCTCTGACGTCCCTCGGGCCTGAGCTACATCAACGTCCCTTCCAGTTGCAAACCATCCAAATGCAGCCTGGTATGTATGGCGGTTCCTCGTCATTTCTAACGTGTGTTTCTGCTAACCTATACACTGTAAACTCTTCTGCCTCTAATGGTTCTTCAATCTCTTCCCACTTTAGCGTGCTTCTACCTCCCTGCATGTGTATAGAGCATACGTTAAGGTGTTCTGTTTTTTTTTCTTTTCTACTTTTACGAGGCTCCTGCCCTCACTGCCCTCCTATCCTGACTATTCTACGTCTCAGCCCTCATCTGAGCAACGACTTTGCAATATTCCCTCACCTACCCATCCCCCCTTCCCCCCCCCCCCCCCCCTTCCCCCCAAACGAAAAAAAGAGCCAGTGCCTTGCTTATATGGCACTGTCTTTTTTGGGAGCACGCAAAGTTTTTTTTGGGAGCCGGCATATAGCGATTAGCTACATGCAGGTGGCGAGAAAGAAAAGTAACTCGAGCACGCCAGAAGCAAGCCTTACGCACTCACAGACGTAGATTTGTCAATTCGCTTATATCTAATATTCCGTGTTTTCGAAGTCTATTTCTTGTGAAATTCTGAGCGTGTTTTCCGGAGTTTATCCTTCGCTAAAAAGTCGGGGTTTATCGGAGTTTATTTGTGTTGAATTTCTAACTCCGGGATTTTGAGTTAAAGCTTACAGTTTTTTTTTTTTTTTTTTTCAAAAACAGAATAATTAAAGGCCGGTTACAAACATACCTAAATTAATTAAAATGCAGCGGTACCGAATGATATTTATTCAGCTGTATTTAGAATTTGCACCCTTGCCACTGGCAATACTATCCCACGACAAATATTGCGGAGAAGTGTTGCCTCAATAGAATCGATACTTTGAAATAACTAAACTCTTGAACGTAATCGTAATGTAACACCTGCTGTGGTGCGGAGAAAGTAAGAACGTTTCAGGTCATAGGTGTTACATTATGATTAATTATCACCAGGTCGTCTGCACATACACTGTTATTTCTTGAACGTGTACGTCGCTGGGAAGGATAGATGCTTCAGCTGTACTCGCCTAGCTCTATTGGAATTTACGGGTTCATAGCTTGCACTGCTATAAAAAACACTACACCTTCTACCTCTAAGAAGCACAACTATTATGCTCCAAACTGGAAACCTCAAGTATAGCTTTTATCATGAACCAGGGGTACCGAGCGCTACGTGCTTATAATCTATCAGGTGGTCTTGACACTTCTTTTGTGATTTTCTTATTGAAACAAGTGCCAAAACCTTATAATAAGAGATAAGGCGCGCGTGAAAGGTGATAAGGAGCGCGCGTAGGTTTTCTGTCGACTATTTTATCTGTCCAATACTCTTCTGTCGAGAAAAAAACCCGACCACCGAGTCATATACAGCTTCGCTGTAAAAAAAGGGTAGGACCACGATGCGTTGAGTATGCGTCATTGGTTTAGTTGGCGATATCAAACGTACAAAAGCGACGAGGGCCGTGACGGTGCACTTTTGCCGCTGCTTGATTGGCCCCATCGGTTCGTGGCGTCGGCGGCGGTCGGTCTTAAAGTGAAATGGAGTGTATTTTCAGACATGCCACCACCTTACGCCATCGCATCGGTCGAGAACAGGCTTTTGATCGAAGATCCGAATCGTCACGGTCGTCGGGTTTTCTGTGTCAGTGTGCAGGCTTCGGAACTCCGGCATGGTCGGCCTCATCACGGTGACCGGTTGCGGGCGGGCAGCCTTCCTGGGCGAGAGGGCCAAGCAAATGCATCTGCCGCACCTGGCACTCGTGAGGCAGAACTGCGAGCACTTAGAGACCGGATTTCCCGGTGACTTCTTCAGCGACAGAGACTCGATGATTGCGTCCTACGTCGAAGCCAGAGATGTCGACGTGGTCATCAGCAAAACCGAAGATGAGGGATTCACCGACATTCTGGTACTCTACGACGAAAAATTTGGTAACGAACAACGTTTTGCAACCTGCAGGTCGCTCTGTTAGTAATGTGTCCGTTCAACCGTCTCAGTAACGTGAAACAGAAAGCGCGCAATCATCCCATTTTTCGTGTATACACTGAAGCACCGAGAATCTGTCACTCCACAACGTTTATGCATGGTACATGCGCACACGACGCATCGCGTTACAGTCTCGCATTTTGAGCGTGGCAATCGAGCTCCAGATTGGAATATGCGCCTTCGATTTGGATCCCCGGTAGTGACGTATTTTCATCTGCAGTTAAAGCGATGCAAGATAGATCTGTTTACTTTAGACTCCATAGAGAGCTTGTGTAGACCGTACGCTGCGGATTGCAGGCCTAGCGGGAGCGTGCTCAATCCGTGCTTCGAAATGACGGCACGAGCGTCCCCTAGCAAGGCGAAGCCCTAGCGTACGGTCTACTAAAAGTCCCTATTATCATCGAACCAGCTGAACTTCGAAGAAATCTAGTTTGAGCCTGCGTAAGCTTGCATCATGCAGAGAACGTTCTGGTTTTGTTTTTTCACGAGATATTCTATAATCCTTTGCGGAACAAGCTAATAACTTCACCCTTTTATATATCGGTCTCCGTCAACAACACAAGGTGGGTATAGCTCTGCCTGTACATTTACAACCCAAACCACGCTTTCATGGAACCACCGAACTCCAACCTCTGTGATATTTTTATTTAATTGCGTTGCCTTCTAAACCACCCTAACGAGGTCAGCATTTTGGCATTTCTTTCACACGTAATTACCTCAAATATTGTGTTCGTTCCTAGCCCTCGTGACCCTCTGCAACACCCTCGGGCTGAGAGCACTTGATAGAAATTAATTAATAAAAAATGTACACGAGCTTGATTATGCTGACAAAAACTGGGGGACACAAAGTGTGTTGAACTATCGTACGCATGAAGTGTGTGGTAGCGCTAGCCTCGCACACATTAGCCCCACTCCGTTCACATACAGACAGCCTGCGCAGTCCACACACTTTCTGCGTGTGATAGCTCAACTGATGCTGTGTCTCACGGTTGTTGTTGTTGTCGCTTCCTTTTCAGCATGATCCAGCTAGTGTAATATTTTGTAACCTTTAAAAAAATGTTTACGCTCCCCACACACCTGCTTTGCTTAGGCCCGCTTCAGACGGGGCAATTTCTCCCAGCAACTTCATTTAGGGTCTACGAAAAGCTAGGGAACAACTCGTAAGCAACAATGAAATTGCTGGTAAATTTGCCCTGTCTGAAGCGGGTATTAGTTTCCTGAAAACATTGAGTATTTCTTTCTTTACTGCTGGGATGCCTTATTTCTTTGTGGTGTTTTCAAGGTGATTTTAAAGGCTCGTTTACACACTTGCAACCAAGTGAGACCATCTGAGAGAAGACCGGTTTTTAAGCCTCTTGCGACGTCTTAGGACCGAGTGCGCAGCTGGTCCTACGGCGTCTCAATAGGCTTAAATACCGATCTTGTTTCAGTTGGTCCTACTAGGTTGCAAGTGTGCAAACGGGCCGTAAAGGTTTGTACTTGAGCGTATACCGTGCGTTTTAACGAAGACCGACATAAAATCCTCAAATTATTGTATTCGAGGAAAAAGGATAATTTTCTCGGAACCGCATTACTTGTGGTAGCGGACGCTTCGTATAAATTTAACCTATGTGTTAAGGCTCGTTCGCACACTTCAGTTTGCTTACAGCCAAATTCTTCTGATCTTTTACGATGACTGGCACGCTGGCGGTGAGCCTGGAACTGGATTTCAGTAGATCGAAGGTTTTGCAGTATATGTGCGAATTCAAATGTACTAGTTATGAGAAAGTGTCAATTATGACATTAGTGAGTTTTAGTGCGTGCGTTCTTTTTGTTTGTTTGACTTTTTTTTTTTTTTTTTTTTGCCCGTGGCGACGATGCACATGCGCAGCGGGGTGATGGCAACGCTAAACCAAACGCACAGCGCTTGCGTTTGCTCCTTTTCGCAATACTAAAACTTTCTATTTTCAAAAACTTTTCAAGCCAAAAAAGAAATAATAATGCGCAAAAAAAAATAAAGGAAATATACTAAAATGCCAAGTGTTCCCCAGCTATCCGACGGAGGGCGCCAGTCCGTTCTCCCGTCATAAGAGATCCCAGGAGCTTTTAAGGCACTCGGTCGTAAGCAATTGCAAGTGCATGAAGCAACCGGTTTAATGTTACAGACGAGCGTGACTGTTTTCTTTTTTCAGGAAACCCAGTGACACTCTGTGTTAAAAAGAAAAAAAGGAAGACGTCGCCTATTCATTTAAATTAATCAGTGCGTGTGGTGAATCCCCCAAACGCCCTCCGCAGCCCTGTACGGAATGGAGCTCCTGATGAGGCGGGTGCAGCGGTCCAACGTGACCTTCTCCTACCTGCGCCTGAGCCCCGACCGTAAGCTGGTCAAGAGGGGAATCGAGACCATCTTTCGCAGTCAAGCGGAGAGGAACTCCCTGTACTCCGGATTCGGGGTCCTCGTGTTCAGCAACTACACCCTCGCCGAGCAACTCGAAGCAGACGTAAGATATGCCACTATGCTTAGACGAACGGGAGTGTCCCGATAGCTTTAAATGCGAAAGCATTTATTGCCCCGGTGCATCCAGCCGTCTTTGGTTTCGACTGGACTGCAGAGTGGGTTTCGTAAGGCCGCGGCGCGGTTCTCTTCCTGCTCTTTCGCTCCGTTCGTTCGCTCGTTGCGTCGGGAAAGAGGCTTCTCGCACGCTTCCATTGACGTGCCACTGCTGATTTGAAGCGCACTCCTCTCATGGCGTGTCGACTGATCCAGATTTTCCGCCAGCGACGAGTCGATTTCGCCACCCGGCTCCGAAATCCACATTCCGTCTGCGCGGATCCGCCTGCGAATTCGCAAGTGTAAACAATGCGCCATTAGGCCCGATTCAGAAGGAACGATTTCTCCGAGAAACTTGAGGTCGCAACGCCAGCAACACAGGGTCCCCGCGTTCACACGCGGCAACTGAATTACTACGATTTGTCACCATCGTCATCATAAAATTTGAATTACCTCTCACTATTTAGGCACAGTTACGCGCTACAAGCGTATTTTTTTAATATATATAAATGGCGTTGAGAATGCTAACTCATCTTTTTGGAAACGATTTTTTACCAAGAACGGTTCATTTTAAACCAGAAGCCAGTTAAACGCCGTCTTTGATTCCTAATATTGCCACAACACGGGTTTCGCATGCAAAATATCGCGTCCTTGATTGGTTACTGCCGCTTCAAACGTCGCCGAGTTGTCCCAGTTGCTCGCCCGTTTCGAGCCGGACAAGATCCCAGCAATGCTTGTTGCAGCACGAGAATCTAGGAAAAGGTGGGGAACAAGTCGCCAGCAACACCGAAGTTGTTGAGAAAATTTCCCCTTCTGAGACGCGCTTCAGACGGGACAATTTCTTCCAGCAACTTCATTTAGTATCTAGGGAAAGCTTGGGAACAACTCGCCAGCGACACTGAAGTTCCTGGGAAACTTGCGCTGTCTGAAGCGGGCCTAAGGTAGGCCTTACGATGGCACCGGGGCGTAGGCACGCGGTTTTTTTTTCTCAGTATGCACAACGTACATACGCAACAACGTAAAACCGAGCCGCTGCGACCACGCCGTTTGCACGAGGCCGCCGAAACGCGGGAGGAAAGATTGGCTCTTTGAAAACAACAGTATCGAAGGAAGCTGTGGTGGCTGTCTCCAAAGCTGCCGTCGTCCGGGAGAACAGACGCTCTCCGAACGCAACAGTATGCGGACCGTTGCGAGGTTGCAATTCCCATCCTTCGCTGAGTCGGAACGCCTGCGTTAAATGCGAACGCATTTCATCGGGAATCAGTGTATATCTCAGAAATTTCGGCATAATTTTTTTTTTCATGAGTTGACTTCAGGAACATGGTAGGTTGCACTACGACGCTCGCGTTATGAATAAAGGAAAGTATACTCGGGCTTCTTTTCTTTTTCTTTTTTTAAGGCTGCCAATCTATAAAAATCGCCATTTATTAATCCGTTAGCATTACTACCCACATGACAGAAAAAAGCTGACGGGGTTCGCCTGTGGACAAAACAGTGGAAAGGGAAGCGCTGCGCGTAGAGAGGAGGAGAGTAGTGAAGGACAAAGGCGAGAGGGAGGCTACGTCACGGGGCGGAAGCCAATGCGCGCGCGGATGCCGGGGCGAGTCTGAACTTACAGGTGTGCGGTGCCCGTGTGTCTTGGCTTGTGCTACAAAATGGAGAGTGAACCAAGTACTAGCGATGGTCCAAGTAGGTGGCAAAAAAATTAAAGGAAGATCCATCAGTGGATCCTTAGGGAATGCGTTAGGATGATCCTTGGGAAACGCCAAACACGTCCCCCTTTAGGGAAGAATTACACTGGCCCCGTAACGGCGTCAAGAAGAGGCAGCAAGAAGCAGAAGAAACAAAAGAGAAAGCCAAAAAAGAAAAATAAAAGGGTCAGCGTTAGCGTTTCTCAGAGGGACGTGTGTGGCGTTTCCCAGGGGTCCTGCTGGCGCATTCCCTAAGGACCCACCAATGGATCTTCCTTGAATGTTTTTTTTTTTCCTCTACGCGAGCTTGTTTTGTTTTTGTTTTTGTTTTTTCTAGTCGGATCAAAATTTTAAGAAAAAGTAATCTTGCGTTATGTCGCGGTAAAACTGCTAGGATACATTATACAAAATACAGTCTGCATGCGCTGTCTGAAGCATCCTTCTCCTGTCAGATAGGCTGTAAAAAAGCGAGTTGCAGGCGTGTTCGAAGTGTACATGTGTATAAAGCAAAACATGCTTCCAACATGATTGAGACGTGCTCGCACATGATTCTGTCACCATGTCTGCCGCGAACACCGTGTTTTTTGTATGATGTGTGAGACAATGAGCTGCGTGACTACGCGGCTATAAGGCTAAGAACAGGGAATGCTTCCAATGGACATTTCTGGAAAGTATAGCGCGCGCCCTCAAGCGGTGCACGAGAGGCATTATGGGAACAGTGAGGGTCGCTGCTCCGTCGTCTGCTGCTACAACCGTACGAGAACCACGTTGCCTGCCTACGTTCGCGATAGGTCCCTGTGTACGGCAGACGGCAATCTGTGCAGCGTCCTGTGCTGCGCTGCGTTTTTCACATGAAGTGAAAACCCCGGGATACTGAACCAAAGAAATTAGTGCCCATAATAAGTGGCGCATGTTCTTTCCACCAGCCAGCAGCCGCCGGTGTGCGCGAGCACACGCAACAAAAATGACGTCACAGACCTCCATTCGCGGTTGAAATGCATGGGCTTCGGACTAAAGGAGAATAAAGATAGGCTTTTCATTTCTACAAGTGAAAGCTACGTGCTTGTTAGACCAATTCATTGCTTACTTTTTACACCAGGCACCACTGTGTAGAGGAAAAACTTGTCTTTATTCTCCTTTGGTCCGAAGCCCATACATTTCACTGTCATCTCAACCACGAATGGAGATCTGTGACGTCATTTTTGTTGCGTGTGCTCGCGCACACCGGCGGCTGCTAGCTCGTGGAAAGAACGTGCGTCACTTATTATGGACACTAAATTCCTTGGTTCAGTATCCCTTTAAACCCCACGTCTTTCTACTGCGATTTTTTGGATGGGCCGCCGTTCTTTTTTTTAAGGGGCCATCGCGCGTGGGTCACACGCCAAAAGAGCGAAGTATCACTCACACGTTCAACGTGGAATCAGTTGAGCTAGTTGGCACCTTTTATTTTCCTACGTTTATACAAAAAAGCTACGCAGCCCGTCCAAACAACGTTCAAGAACCGTTAGATTGCCTGGATGCATGAATGGATTAAGAATGGTGCTGCAGTTCGGGCGGTAGCGTGCACCACCTAGACTGCTGAAGCTCGACTAAGCTAGGCTAGGCGTGGCCTCCGAGATTTCTCACGCGCTCTACTCCGGCCTGTCCAAACCCTCGGCTGTTAAGCGGAAAAAGTGAATCGATCCAGTTCTTTAGATCTCCGCATGCGGCGCTTATGACTAAAGCAGAAACAGAACAGAATCGCCTCAAAGCACGCTGTGAAGTGCGAGCCCGCGGCATGATCTTGCATTTTCGTTGTTCTCATCATCAGGCTAGAGACAGGTAAATCGACCTTTGTTGATCTGTAATTTTTATTCGCTGCGTCGGTCTTTGCGCTGTTCCGCTGGGCGATACCTCAGAACTCAAGATTTTGTGCAAAATGTTATCTGCGGATGCTCCCAAGCAGCACAAATGTCCTGCGAACGTCCACAGGACATTCCTAGGTTGCTAGGACATCCTAAAGACGTCCACAGGACGAAGTGTGCTACTAGGGCTGTCTGGGCCGGCGGGACAGGCGTCAAGATATTTTTCTCGTCGTGCATGAGAACAGCTTTCTGAACTTCACTTACGTCCACGGGCATTTGTTACGTCTTTCGCGTTCTGAAAAGATGAACTTTCAATTTTCGATCAATGTCTTCCTTGTCATAGGTCTGCGTAATGCGAAGTGAGGTGGGAAGCACAATTTGCGTTGCTACTAAGTTGCGTAGACCAACGAGAAAGGTGATAATGATAATTCGCGGCTATTTTTCGTTTTGTTTTAGTGTTGTTTGATTTGGTTAAGGGCGCCGCGAAGCGCCTAGCAGCAACAGGCTCTACCGGCGCATGCAATGGACTGAGGAGAGCAGCCAGCGGCGGTAAAACTCTCGGATGCCATGGGCGAGGTTTTGCTAACGGACACCGACACTCTCATCGCCTTCACTTCCTTTTTGCCTCTACTTCACCTGCCCTGCCTGCACCCCCGCCGCCTTTCCCCCGCCGAACCCAAGCACACATTCGTGACTTGCCGTCGCAAAGCCGACACGAAGAGAACTCTTCGTGTCGGCATCGTTACGACTTGGCCGGCCGTTGCAAAAGGTTGTCGACCCCCGTTGAAGTCTTTTGAAAAGATTCTAGCTAATCTAAGTCATGTGCAAAAAAAATAAACAGATTAATTGCGCCAACAATCAAAGAATGGCCGAGCTGGAGAACCCCATAACTTCTTACAACGTTGACTGAAGAAACTTTGTTTCGCGTTCTCCAGGGATTATTCTCGTCATTCTTGTTTAGCTCCCTTGCACTTTTGCATTTAATTGCATTAAATCACAACTCTTTATTTTGCAGATATCTATTATACTCGATAATACAAAAAAGCGTAGTTGGGTTTAATTTTTTTGCATACATAGAATACAAATGTTTGCGTCTTGAATTTGTTCAATATTTTTCTCCTTATAATCGTGCGCGATTTTTTCTACGGCATTCTTTAGCTTCAGTTGTTGCTAAGCGTTTTGTGATACGTATATTTTATGTTGTGCCGTTCCAAACGGCATTCGCAATCCGTCCATTTTGTTTCTCTCCATTTCCCTTTCATTAATTATTCAAAAGCACGAAGTACTGCTTCAGGAGTGTTCAGAATGGCTAAGGCTGGTTCACAGATTTGCGTTTGACTCTGACCGAGTGCCTTGGGACTTCTTGTGATCACTTACGACGAGAGAACACACCACAGATCAGTGGAACACAGTAGCGCGCTGGCGCCATCTGTTCGGAAGCCCTGAAACTGAGTATAACTACTAGATCGAGAGTTTCGCAGTATTTGCGAAATCGAATCTACGCACCGTGTATCAGAAAAGGGTCGCCTATACCATTGTCATAAAGCTTTTCAAGCCTATGGCGAAAGAGTAATGCCTATCAAAACTAGGAATTATAAAGGCAAATTTGAAATGTTACGTGGCTACCCGATAAGCAGCGCCAGCGTGTTATCTCGTCTAGAGTAACTATTTGCGACTCCAGCAAAACGGACAACACCTAGCGGGAAAACACTGAACTGGCCGGAACAGGTCCTTTCGCGATTTCTGCTCGTCTCTCGTGGCTTCTGCGATTGCATGTTTTCGGTGGTTTGCGCGACAGAACGGTTGTCCGGGTGACTCTGCCATAACTATAGTATCAGCCTGTTCCTAGGTTGCCCTTCACGCAACCTGCGCAACCACGCGAACCAGTCATTCCGCGTTTATCAACGTTTATCAGCGCAGTGGAAGGACAGTAGGCAGTCCTTTCATCGCTTCCTCGAAGAAAGTCGAGCCCCAGGAAGTTCGCTTACGTCAACAAATCGTTGCAGGTTCGAAACGTGGAGGATAAAAAGCGGGGCGAGCAATTTTGAGTTCATTTCTTGCCTGCTAATGCCCCAGCGTTGTGCGTTCAGGTGAAACATGGCACGGGACGACCTGTTTTAGACCGCCATGTTCGCCCGATTGTGCTGTCCCTATAGGTCGCTGGACTCGCGAATAGGCTACGCATGCGGAGCAGAATGTCGCAACGGTCTCAAATGTTACCTATAAGTACTGCGGGAAGCGACCGCCGTTCTAGCAGGAGCCGGGACCGGCGCAAAGATATGAGGCAGCAATTCACCGCGCATGTGCTGTCGCGCGTCTCCCGAAACCCTAGGCGACACAGCGCTGTGTCGTCGTCGTTGTCGTGTTGTCTGCTTTTTCACGGCCGCTTTAAAACTTTACTCGCGTTATAAACATAACGCAGTAGACCGATCTCACTGAGCGCTCCACCGATGCGTGACGCCGCCATAATTGTGATCATAGCCTCCTATATACGGATAAAGCCTGGCAGATCGCCACGAGAACCGGCCGCCGAAATGGAAAAGGTGGAGCGGCAGACAACGGATGAGAGGAGAGCCACGTGACTGGCGCCCCGCTGCGGCGAGACGCCGAAACACTTCTCCCGAGACATGGCCCGAGAGAACAAGTGTGTTTCGTGTCCTCGCCGCTGCAGGAGCTGTGCACTGACGTCCAGATTTCCCTAGAAATGGCGGTGTGATGCTCTGTGCTACCAGATCCTCGAGCTCCAAATCTTCAACCGGGCACTCTGTGGCTCCGCCGTCGAACTGCCAGGCTCTGTGAGCAGAGGAGGCTAGGGTTCCTAAATGTCCTTCTTTTCAGGGTGATGCCACCCTTTGTAGTACCCGATGCCGACAGCACGCGCTCACGGGAAAAATACAAAGAAATCGACGAAAACAAAATGTCGCCATAGCACAGTCAGCGCCACAAACGCGTGCAGGGACACGCTCTTTCACGCGCTTCTAAACAAAAAATAAAAATAAACGTGTGGAACAAAATGGCGAAATGCCACCACCCTAAGCAAAGCGCACATGAAGGCACCCTAGAGGAGGCTATGTTGTGGTTCGTAGGAGGTAGGCGCCAGTGCACGAGACAGCTCGTGCCGGCTTGTGCTCTGCTCGCGCCGACCCTCGGGGGGTTGTCGCGCGTGCGGAACGACGCATGGCGTCCACGGTGCCGTAACCAAAACATATATCTAAGTGGCACACGCAATGTCTGAACGTCCACTGAAGCCTCTTGCTCGTCATAATTCATTGCAACATCTACATTTCGCGAACGCAGTGCGAAAAATACTTGCCGCCCCGAACCTGCCGCTCCGCAGGCCCACCTTCCCGCAGGCGTTTGGGCATATCTGGCGCATGTGACCTCTTCTCAGCCAGTAAGGAGTTGGTGGCGAAAGGAAAAGGAAGGCGATACTCCGACTCCGCCATTTCGGAACTTTATTCTCGTCGTAAGCGGTCACAAGTGATCGCAACAAACCCGGTCACTGTCAAACGCCACTAATGTGAACCAGCCTCCAAACCTTTTATACTTCTCACGTTTACCGACCTGTGCAGTTGGTCATCGAGAACAACATGGATCCCAACATTATACTGCTCGTCTTCTACAATGGCTGGGACTTAGGCTTGAACAGCTGGTACTACACCCGTGTCACAAGCTACCCGTACGAGAAACTCATCCACGTCATCTTGAGAAGCTTTCCCAGAAATGTCAGAAATCGCATGAAGAGAGTTTCTTATGCGCTGGACGGCAAGTACCACGTGGTAAGTTAGTGTCTGGAAACAGCTGACGTGCAGCATGAAAGAGCATTTACTTCGATATGTCATTGTTGAATGTATGTCCTGAAGGGTAGCCGGGTACTTTCTAAGGTGGGCGCCCACGGCATCAAAAGGAGCCTTGAGGAGTATTTCGAGCCACACCTCCGTAATTGTAAAGATAGCAAAGTATGGAACCAAGAGGGCAGAAACGAATCGGCTGCATCTGTTGAATAAGCACACTAAAAAATTTCGCACCCTTATGTATATCCCCTTGTCCGGGGGCAAACACGCTAAACAGTGCGCGATCACCCTTTTTTTAACCTGGCTAACACCCTATTTTAAAGGATGCCACCCGAAACAATAGTGTTAGCCCTGCTTAACGCACTACTTTTGGGGTGCTAGCCATACGGCTAAAACAATATACTATACTTGAGAAGTAAAAAACATTCCTTCGCTGTTAAGCACCTCCGCAATAAACTACTTCCACAAATCCGTCACCGCAAGCGCTGCATTCTGGGAAAGTGCAGGCAAGGAGCGGAACGTGTGTGGATTTTGCTTCCCACTGATTCCGACAATGCATAACGGCATTACGCCGCGATGAGGCGCTTCGAGTTTTCGAATAAGTATATTATGAGGGTTGGGGATTCACCAACAATTTATGTGTAGCCTTCTCTTCGTACATGGCGCAGGTTTTTTTTTTTCGGAACAAATGAGTTGCTCGTTGCTGCGCATGCAGGTCAAGTGCTTTGGGTAGGCTCGGGGCACGGGCTGTTCGCCGCCGATCTGTTGTTCGCCCGGCGTACGCCGTTACCGGCAGAGGCCAGTGGCCGGCGCGAATCACGAGCTAGTCGAAGAACTGGCTCTTATTTCCGACTGGCACCGAAGTTGGAACCAAGTTCAAACTAGAGCCGCTAAGTGAGCTACGCTTACAGTATCGGCACTCTGTTTCCCTGAATTGTTCTGGGCGCCGCCATCTTGGTGCTTAGTGCAGAGCAGACGGAACTGCCGATCGTCATGATTCAAAAGTGAGACTTCCTCAGCATTAAATTTGGTGTTAGGAAGCTCGTGTAATATTGCTTTGCTCTGTCGCGGACTGTTTAAACATTTGTGGACGACGGAAAAACGTTTTTTGCGATTTCAAATAAAGCTTAAAATAACTGGCAACCATAAGTTTAAGGACTTGTATGGAAGGAGGGAAAAATGTACAGGTAATACCAGGACTGATGTATGCGGACGATATAGTACTTATGGCAGATAACCAGGAAACGTCACAGGAACTAGCTGGAATATGTGGAGAGGAAAGGGACACCTTGGGCTTGAGTTTTAGTAGTGACAAATCTGGAGCAATTGCGTTTATCGACCAAAAGAGGGAACCCCTGAGAATACAAGACATTGTAATAGAATAGACCATGTAGGCAAATGCAAATATCTGGGAGTCTGGCTTAATGAGGGAAGGAAATATCTAGAGGAAAATGAGGAGAATATAATTAAAAAAGGGAAAATAAATTCATCTATCATGAACCCCAAGGCACTATAGAACTATTATAGATATGACGTGGTCAGAGGTTTATGGAAAAGAGTGATGGTACCAGGACTGCCCTTTAGCAATATGTTACTGTCAATGAAATCAGAGGTTCAAGCAGGATTAGAGATTTGACAAAGAAACGTAGGCCGATTGGCACTGGGAACACATGGAAAGACACCAAATGAGGAAATGCATGGGACATGGGCTGGTCGACCGTTGAGATCAAAGAGGCAACTAATAAGTTGAAATTTGAACAAAAGCTGACCGAAATGGATGATACGCCGTGGGCGCGGAAGGTATTCTAGTATTTATACTTTAAACGTTTAAACATAAAATTAACAAACTGAATCCAAAAGCTTACTTTTAAATACCTACAAATGGGGTTGAGCAGACTACGTCAGTGAAAAGGAAGTGAAAGAGGCAGAAAAAAAATGTGGGAGGGAAGAATTCAAGAAAAATCGGCTCTAATAATGTACAGGACACAAAAACAGGACATAAGAAAGGAAAATGTGCTTGACGATTCACTGGGAAGTTCTTTACTGTTTGAGGCGAGAACGTGAGTTTTGAGGAGGAGGACGTATAGGGCTAAATTTCAGGAGACAGACACATTAAGTGTTGCCTGCCATAATTTGGTGGAGTCAAACTTTATTAACAATATGACACCCTGTCCGGCTCTAAGACTGCAATAATGAGAACGAGACGCTAGAGCACTTGGTTTTGAGCTGCACGGGGTTTCGCCCTGCCCTCCCTGAAGGGGTAACAGATTTGGCCGGGGCCCTGGGTTTCGCTGGCGACGATGGAAGGACGGAAGATAAAAGGATTACAGTCACAAAGCGGTGATTAGAAGATTGGTGAAAATTATCTAGGTAAAATTGAATGATGCACTAACTGGTGCAGCTGGGGAAAGGCGGGAAAGATGAAAATTGGGACTCCCTCCTGCGTGGCTCCGGACCAAAGTCTCAACCCTGTCCCCTAGTGGGTCCAGTGCTGGGGTAACGTGGACAAAGCTTGACCAGAGGAAAGTTCGCGTCTCCCTCGCAAGGGGAAGGGGGGGGGGGGGGGATTTACAAACAGTGATTTGTGAGTTTTAGTTTGTTTTTTTTTTTTTGCCCGATCTTTTAACGGTTATTCTTGTGATGTCCCACACTGCCGGCTGATAGTTGAGGGGAGAACATTGCGTAGAAGGGTGGGAGGAATCATATTTTTGTCTTTATAGACTTAGGCCTGGTGGAGCAAGATTCAGACGCATTTTCTGAATACGCTATTTGCTTATGGTGCTGTGCATTAGTAGGGAAATCCGGTTTTCAGCGTTTTGAAGTACGCTCTTAGCATGCAAATAAAGTCGCTCACGCAACTGACGCCTCGACATCATGTATCGGCTACGGCGGCGTTCATCGATTGTTTGTCGCGTAGAGTTCGGTTCCGACAAATACGCGGCGGCGCGTTGTAATACATTTTTTCAGCGCAAATTTAGCTGTTAAACTTCGCTCCCCAAAGTTCAGCCTTTAGATCCGAGCCTGTAATGAGAAGCGTCAGACCATGCTCGAGTCACGGTAGTATGTAGAAAGGGCTTCTGACCGTGGTGCCAGTTTCAGCGCTTGTACGTACACCGCGTGCTTTGCTCGCTTTCGGAACCGACGAACATGTGCATGCTGAAGAGTGAAGATCGCATGCTGATCAGTGCGATATTTACAGCCCAGCATTTTGTAAACAAAGAGCTTCTGGCCTTTGCGATCCTCGGCGGTCATGCGTACGGTGGGCGCTTTGCTCGCTTTTCGAAGCGACGAACAAGCGTGTGCTGTCCTCTAAAAATAGCAGGCTGAGATGTGACTTTGTAAATATAAAAATGGTGTATAGGCGTCTTTCATCATATGCTCACCCCCGCAAAAAGAAATGCGTCAAAAATAAAGAATAAAAAAACAATTTAGTACATTTCATGTAGCGTCTCATCTGTGGTAGTTGTTACATGAGTGTACCGGTTGTGCCGAGTAATGAGTAGCACTACGTGGAGAACGTTTCAAGACCCCTAGGCGCTGTGTTCTCCTTCCCCTTCTCCTTCCATGCACCCCTCGCCACCTTTATTTGAACTTTCAAAACAACATTATTAGATATCTCTTTTCTTACAAGAAGGTCATTCGCCAAATTTTTTGGGTTATCTTATGGTCCGTTCTGAGCTGGTCTTCGGGGTGCTTCCTTGTCCTTGAGGAATACTCAACTCTGAAGTTCTTGCTTCAGGATGTGTTCGGTTGCTGATAGACACCTGTGATGTTGGAACCAGGTCATGTGTATTTCCGCGGAGATATCATGACCCTGTTTGTATAGTGTAGGAGAGAAGTTCCGGTCTCTTTCCCATGACTGTTCCAGTTGCTCTGCTGTCTCTCACCCATACCTCGTTGCCGATATCCAGGTCTTGTTTTCGGCACACTCCGTGTCTCGCGTTGTAGTTCTTTGCTTGCTTCTTTTTCTCTTCACGGTCTTTCTCCCGGAACTCCTCATAGTTGGCACTCTTGGCAATAATGTAAAAGCCAATGCTGGCAGTGTGAATCGCAACTGCCTTCCCATCAGAAGCTATGCCGGATTGCATCCAGAAGATCCTGGTGTTGTTCTGTGGCTTAGTACGCCAAGCTCAGGATCTTTATACTTCTTGAGGATGTCTTTGACAATCTTAACTATTCTCCAAGCTTTCCCATTACTTAGTGGGTACAATGTGATATTTGTAATGTGCTCAATCTTGTAGTCCTTTGAAAAGTCTTCGAATTGCTTGGAACGGAATTGTAGACCGCTGTCTGATTGCAGAATCTCGGGAATTCCGTGACGAGAAAATATTGCCTTGAGATGCGATATGACTGCTTCTGAAGTGGGTTGTCTCAGTTGCTCATTTCCACATACCTAAAGTAATAGTCCACGACCAGCAGGCATTGTGCTCTTTTCAACTCGAACAAATATGTGCCAATTCATTTCCATGGTCGCTCTGATAGTTCAGATCCGATCGTCGTTTGTGTTTTTGGTACTCGCTTTAGTGCACAGCTGAGGCAGTTTGTCACAACATCGGCCACCAAACCGACATCTGGGCTCGTTTCCGATATCTTGTGATACCCTGGTAGCCTTCGTGGAGCCTGTGTAAGACTTGCTTTCTCATCTCATACAAGAAAACCTCTCACCAGTAGGTTTTCTTTTATGTACCATGAGGCTGTCGTTCTTAAAATATGAGGTGATTTCGATGGGCACTTGGTCCTTACTAGTTGGCCATCTCTTTTCGCAGCACTCCTTCACTTTACTAGAGACTATATCTTCCTCTTGCAATCTCTTTGCCTCGTCCAGGTACTCACAGGATGAGGGACTGACTGAAGAACCACTTGCACGTAGGCTCCGGTTTCTTCTTCCATGTTGTCTGGTGGTTCAACAGGTGATTTTGACAGGGCACCAGCCATCCAGAGTTCTTTTCCAGGCACGTGTAAAATTCTGTAGCAGAATCTCATCA